CCAACCCAAAATTCATTTTCCAAAATACATTTCATATGTATTGAAAATTCTATTCCAAAAATCACATTTAAGAAATTTCATTCCAAAAATTGTTTTAGAAATTTTGTTTTGAAAATTTTAGAAAGCCCAAAAGTTTGAAAAATATATAATCTGAAAATTACTTTTCCGAAAAAAAAAATGATCATTTTGAAAATTTAAAATAATGAACTAAGAAATTATGAGAATGCAATAAGAAAAGTCATAAGATTATCAGTAAGGTTTTTTATTAACCCATTATCCTCATTATTTATTTATTTATTAATTATCTTTTGGTGATTATTTATTTTATTAACCCAAAATCTGTTTTTCATCATAAACTATTATAAAAATTTATATTTTATTTTTAAATTAAATTATAGACATTCTATCTTTAAATTTTATTAAACTTATACAAAATATTTTTTTAACAAATGACAAGTGAAGTTTAGTTTAGAGATGGAATATAGTTTTTGATAATAGATTTCGAATGAAAACCATATTTAGTTTTATAGTTTTTAAATTTATTTTAACACTTTTAAATTTCCTATAAATTAATGAAAAAAATTGATGATGAATTTAACATTTCTTTTATCGATATTTTTGACTTGAACTAATTTTAAGTTATGTACAAGTAAGTTAAATGTGTAAAAATAAAAGTTTGGAAGTTGATAAGAATTTTAAAACAACCTTTTACTTTCAAATAAATAAAAAAATACTTAAATTCAATTAGTCGGTCGTGAGAAAACTTTATTGTTTTCAAACGCGTCTTAGGAAAAGTGGCGCCAATTACTCGGCGCCAAAATTTAAAAATGGTAATAAATACTGTAAAAATTTTGGAACGAAAAATTGGCATTACCCGCTTTACTTTCTTGTCGTGGAAGATCGTAGCTTGATGAACGCATTTTGATGGATTCGATCCCAAGCTTTGAAGGCCTGAATTCTCAGGTATAAACTAATTTTCCCATTTTCCTCCATCACCAACTGTTTCTTCATTTTCTTTTTTCTTTTCAGGTTCCCAATTTGCGGTCTTCTTTTTCATTCCCTTCTGGTTCGAATCAATTACTTCTCAAAACTTATCAATTTCCTGTTAATGTTGAAAGTTATCTCCTTTTGATTTCCGTGTCTTGTGGGTATGCATGTTAGAGCCCCCTGATGTTGGGAATTGGTTCTCTAGCTATGAGTATCAGTCTCCCGACCCGGATTCGAATTTTAGAGTTAAAGATTCTGCTTTCACGGAAAACGAGTCTCAGGGAGATGGTGAAGAAGTTGTAGAAGAAAAGGTTAGGATTCGAGGTCTACGGCCTGATAGGGACAATGTAGGTCATGAAGAAGAGGATAATCATAACGAAGAACAGTGCATGAACAAGGTGAATCTTCTTCTCATTATTTATTTATTTTTGAATCTCCCTTATTTGTATTTATGGGTTGAGTTTTAATTTATGGCTTTTGAAGTTAGACACTCATATGTTAAGATGGAGATTTTAGAACTTTATCTGTTTTTTTTCTTGCAGAATCTTGGACCTTTCAGTTCATGTTCACTCCTTTCTGGTTTGTACTTTGTCTTGCTTCTTGTAGGATTTCTTTTTCAAAATTGAGCTATGGTTGTGTTTTCAGTCCTGCATAATCAATTATCTCAGCTTTTTTGTGTGTGCCGTTTTCCTTTTTCTGATTCAGAGCCTCCTGACATCAGAAACTGGTTTTCCAGCTATGTTTACGAGTCACCTGAGTTTGATACATGTAGTATTTTAAGAGATGAAGTTTCTGAAGAGAACCACTGTGAGAAGTTTGATTTTAAAGTCGTGAAAGCAGACGGAAGCAAGCCTGCCAATGGCTACTTGAAAGGGTGTGTTGAGCACAATGACTCCTCTAATAATAAAACAAAGGTAAAAGCAAAAAAGCAGCCTTAATAGGGTGCTCAGTACTCTTTTTTTATTCTATCCAAACCTTTCATTTTTCTAATTACCTCTTTAAATGTCACATATTTACTCAATGAAATTACATATGGTTGTGGTTTCTGATGAGACTGAATGAAAGTAAGCTAATAAATATTTATGCTCAATGAATAGATACTGTTTGTTTAGAGGCAGTTTAAGCAATTCACAAAAATACATTCTAATATGTAGATTTTTACCTCGTGCCTATGGAAATGGACTGTGCAACGAAAATTTAGCCATTAGCATAATATGTGAGGTATGTTTTCAATATTATACTAACAAAATCGCAGATGAAAACCTGAAATTAGAAAGTTAATTTCTATCTGCGCTATCACATCACAATCCCTATCTGGGCACATATACATTCTCTATTTGTTTCAGTTTCCATGAGATAGGGACTGGACCTAGCTTCAAGGTATTTAACAACGGATTAATGAGTTGCTAGACATTACTAGACACAATACCCAATCGGAGTCACTGTATGCCACCAAGTTTATAGTATAGTAGCGTGCCAATATGAACTGAATATACTTGAAAATTAGACTGTTGGTTTACAGTATATACATTATGAAAATATCTATACTAAGGTGTAAAGGCTCCAAGCCTTTTAGTTACTGTTTTAGTGTTCTCAATTTTTATATCATTTCACCCATTTTGTTAATGTAATATAAAAAACGGAGATAGAACCATAAATCTACCAGTCTGCTAATAATGTGAATATTTAACTTATATAATTTCACCAATGGTATACATGTTACGAAGCATCATAACTTATAAATCTTAATACTAATCATTCCACTCTTATGGACGAAGTCTATATTAATTACTAGACTTTTAACTACGACGGTAAATATATGGATATTTTTTGGTAGTGAAAGGAAGTTTGGTTAATACATTGCTCTGAATACATGAATTGAACTGTATCATCCTCCAAGTCATCTGTCCTCACTAGTTTTCTTTGTGGTTGAAATCATAGGGTGATGATTGTGCTGAAGTGAAGAAAAATTCAACTACAGTTGACACTCATCAGAAAAAGATTTTGCAGCCATGCAGGCAAGTTAGAACAATGCTGCAGCATAAACATGGTCCAACTAATTACAAGGAGACGTTGGATTTGAATCACACAAGGCCTCAGTACGATCGAGAAGGACATCCAATGTCACTGGATACCGATAAAAGTGCTACGAAACCTCCTAAGCTGCTGCATAAGAACGATTCCCAAATATCAAACACAACTGATATCCAACCTGATAACAAGCTTGACTTGAGTGTAACTGCAACTAAAACCTTCTCAACAAGAACTGCAGCCTGTACAAACAATAAAGAAAATGACGGCTTTGTGACAACAAGGAAGAAAATTTTCACAGGAGGAAACGATGAAAATTGTGGGAAGAAACCTGAAAAGATATTGTTAGAGCGGTCAGTAAGTACAGTAAAAATTCCATTGCAATGTGGTGTTACAAAGAGAAAGGCATTAACAGAATCAACAAATGTTCAACTATATGATGACATAGGGATAACAGGGAAATGGCAATGCCCACAGAAACGTAAACCTGATGTTGGGCCAGCTATGAAACAACTTAGGCTCGAGCGCTGGGTTCGTAGATTATGAGACCTGAGAGAAACATTATTCCATGAAACAACTTTTTCATGGTTAGTGTTCTAAGGTAGATCGATTAAACACCAGATAAAAACATTTGATTGCATTATGTATGATTTCCATTCTGTTATTATACTTAGTATTTAAGTGTGACTGAAAGTTTCAAGGGTAAAATTAATAAAATTAAATATCGTATAAGAGAAAAAAATTCGTAAATATATTACTTTAAAATTTTGAGTTAAAAATAATAGCAATTTATTAAGTGGAGCTTATGATATATAACAACCTCCCCATAAACGTTTATAAGAAAAATCCCATCATTTCTGTGTTCGGTATGAAAGAAAGTATTGTATGTGAAACAATAGGAAGAATGTATATTTAAGAATAAGGAATCAAAGTTCACTCACACAATTAACGTGTTCTATACGCTATAACATGGCCGTCAAGAATTTTTTTTTTCCTTAAAATAAAAAAAAAAGAACTTTTTCATAGCATGATAAATTGTCACTGAACGTTTTCTAATAATTACTATATAGCTGCCCCTGATCAATTTGTGCAATAATCCAATCCATAAATAAGACATGCTAAAGAGTGGGCTTAGATTATTTTGAGAAAGAGGTGGGCCTTGTGGGCCCATAAGAGGCGTATAAAGGCAGAGGAATCACAGGTGTGAAGGTAGCGTAGGTGGAGCATTGAGAAGAAGAGAGAAAACAATGGCTTCTTCTGCTAAAAGGTGGCTTCCGCTCGAAGCAAACCCTGAAATCATGAATCAGGTTCTCTCCGTGGATACTCCTTGCGTATTATTATTTGTGCCATTGTTCTTCTTTGTTTTTCTTTAATGCGATTTGAATAGTAACAAGTTTTAATTTTAATCGAGAATCTTCTTCGGGTTTTGAAGTTGAATACTTTTGCTTCTCACTCTTCTTCGAATTAATGATATTCATAGTTTAGCGTATAATTATATGGGTGATTTGCAGTTCCTTTGGGGACTTGGGCTTGGAGAGGACGAGGCAGAATGCTGTGACGTTTATGGCTTAGATGAAGAGCTTCTGCAAATGGTTCCAAACCCCGTTCTTGCTGTGCTTTTTCTTTATCCCATAACCACCCAGGTTTTTATCCTTTTTCTTCTATTTCAACTCGTCATTTTCCATGTCTGGGTCACTTCTTATTTTCTACGGATTTTGTCAAATCATTAGAGTGAAGAAGAAAGGTTGCAGCAGGAAAAGGAAAAAAAGGTGAGTTGATTTTATACTGTTACAATCTTTTCTGCATTTTCCCGCTTCTCTGAATTGACTGTTTTCTTGGACAACATGTGTTTTTAGCTCTCATTACTCAGTGAACAATACCATAGTAAAGTTTTATTTTCGCTGGCATATGTCATAATGCCATTGAACATTAGTCAATGAACTGCTTACCGTTGTGTTCTGGTGCAGGAATATAGCAGTAGAGTGTATTTTATGAAGCAAACTGTGGGTAATGCCTGTGGAACAATTGGACTGCTTCATGCTCTTGGCAACTTGACTTCAGAAGTAAAGTTGGGTGAGTTGCTTACTTGCCACTGGTTAATTCTCTCCGTTGAGGTTTTTAATGTACTGGATCATATTTACCAATCAATGTTGCTTTTGCCAGTTGAGGGGTCTTTCTTTAATAACTTCTTTAAATCCACTGCAAGTATGGATCCACTGCAGGTTATTCCTTCTTACCTTACCTTTTTGCCCTCTTATTGTGTTCGCACATGTAAGTATAGACACTGTTGATCAGCTAAAACTTATAAGGAATACCCATTTTACATTTTGTAACTTGTCTCATACAGCGTGCTAAATTTCTGGAGAATGACAGAGAAATGGAAGTTGCTCATTCAGTGGCAGCGACTGCTGGTGATACAGAGGTAATTTATTGATTGCTGCAACAATGCATTGGGAATTATGTGATATATTCGTGGAACTGGTATGGTACACCATGGTTCAGTCATCATGTATTGTAAAGCTAATCCTATCAATTTGGATTAGTTTTCCTCTTGTTGTTAGCATCTTTAATCTTTGGGTGTGATACATGATACATTCTTAGTGGCTTTAGATAACGTTTATCTTAAATCGTGTCGTTATTCTTGTCATTATATAACCGTGTATTTGTTTTATGCAATGATTAATGTTTTGCAAACATAAAGCATTCTGATGGCCTCTCAACTCAACTTCACAGGAATATTAATTTGAGAGTATATTTCAACATATTTAAGTCAAACCCTATTTCCTGCTCCAATTTATGTATGACTTGCATGCAATGTTCACGAGGATTTACTGGGAAAATAGGGTGGAAGAAGTTCCTTTGGAAATGGGAAGAAGGGATTAATATATTTAATATGACTCAATAATTGCTAGGATATATCTTATTCAGCTTCTCATCTTACCACTGATTTCTTTGTTTCAAATATTTGTAATGCAGGCATCTGACAATGCTGATGCACATTTCATATGCTTTGTCTGTGTTGATGGTAAATTTTCTATACAATTGATTGTGTGTATCACAGTCGTTTTTTTCCCCTTTACATTCTCCTTTCTTGTGCGTTTAGTTTTATATTTTATCAGGGATTGAATTTTGCATGATGCTGTAATAATTCACATGCAGATGAACTTTATGAGCTTGATGGAAGAAAATCGTGGCCAATATCTCATGGTCCATGTTCACCGAGTACTTTGTTGAGGGTAAATAACATCTTTTCATTTTCAAATTGTAAATCCTTGGGTAAACCCACGTTGATTTGCTGACCTTGTTCACCGAGTACTTTGTTGTTTTTAAGGCCATCTCATCTTTCTGTTAATATATTGAAATTACGACAGGATGCAGCTAAGGTGATACAGAGCATGATCCAGAAAAATCCGGAGTCCCTCAACTTCAATGTCATCGCCTTATATAAGAAATCCGGGTAGATATTTTAAAGCTATTGATTTAGGTGGCGTTAGTGAGTATGTTCAGATTTTACCTTACACTCCAGATCAATAGATAGCGAGTTTTTTTTTAAAGTGAACCAATGTAAATAAAATTTTAAAAAGCAATCCATCATTAGAAGCAATACTCATTTCTGGATTGCTTCTATAAAGATCGCCACAAGGTCCTAGGGATGTCATGGTAGTCCTAGTGCATTTGATTGTTCTGTGAATCTGTATGACATAATACAACTGCAAGTTTTTTAACATTTGTTCTGCTAAGTAAATATGCTTCTAAATTAGACAACATAAAGTTGGGAATCGAATTATACTATAGGAATCATAAAGTCGGGTTTGGATTTTTAGAATTTTTGAAACATTAAAGCAAACATGTCTTTGTCATTAGTATAGGATGTCATTTGGTAGTTTGTGATTTTTTTTTAAATTTTTAATTATTTTTATTTTGTATTCTTTATTATATTTTTATGCAAAAATAAAATTTCATTAGTATGGTACTAACACTAACATAATTAACATAAGTAGATATCATTTGTTAGTTTGTGATTTTTTATTGTTTATTCTTTATTATGTTTTTATAAAAAATTAAAATTGTCACTGATATTATATCATATAATAATGATAATGTGTTAAACTGATATTATATCATTTAGTAATGACGTGTGATGTAATAATGATATTGTCATTTGTTATTGTATTAATTTAAATTTTGTTTTCATATTTTTATTTAACTTTAATTTAATCTTATTTTTTTTAAATTTAAATAATTTTTTCCCTTTACTTATTAAAACGAAATTTAATTTATATATTAATGTTATTCAAATATTTTTTAATTAATATTTTTATTAAATATTTTTAATAAAATTAAATTTATATATATAAATATGGACATGACACGGTAAAGTGGATTTTTAGAATGATATGGTCAATAACATCAAATTTCATTTTTCTGAAATCAAAATTAGAGAAAAATTTATGAAAATCTTAATTTAAAGTTGTTTCTGTTGCTTTTTTTTCTTTTATATTTTTTCACATTTTATTTTAATTCTTACTTTTATTAATCATATTATTTTAACTTTTATAGATATATTTAAAAAATATAATTCATATTTACATTATTAACTAAACATAAATATAAATAAATTTAATTTTATTAAAAATATTTAATAAAAATCAATTTTAATAAAAATATTTATATAATATTCATATACAAATTAAATCTTGATTTAATTTAAAAAGAGATAAAATTATTTAATTTTAATAAAATAAAAGAGAATACAGATAAAATAAAAATATAAAAATCAAATTAAGAGTAATGTAATATCAAGTGACATGATAATTACACTACATTATTTAAAATAAATAAAAAAATTAGAAGTAATTAAAAAACATTTAAAATGATAGAAAATCATAAACTAATATGAACCTATGTCGTTAGTATTGAACTACCAGTAATAACTTCATTGTTTCAATTTTTAAAAAGTATGGATCTCATTATTGAGAAAAGAAAAAAATGGAAGCACGGAGTGCAACTCTCAACCCAAATGAGTGATGTTACCTCCACCATCCCATTTTCTCTCAACAACTTTCTCAATTTTTTTTAAATTCTAAATTTATCCTTTTTACTTTTTATTTTTATTAATTTTATTTTTTATTTTTTAAAATTTTAATCTTAATCCCATCTTATTTTCATTTTTCCTTTCATACTGAGCAAGCTTTCATTTCTCACGGTCACTTTCTCTTTTTTTCTTAATTTACGTCTGTTAACAAAAAATTTGACAAAAAAAAGATAAACTAAACTAACTATTTTTTCTTTTATTCACTTTTTATTTTGTATCCAACAAATATCAAGGAAATGGAGAATATATTTTTAGCAGATTATATTATGCAATCATGATACTTCAAAATTCATCAGAAGTTATAAATGTTTTAAATTTATATCATGTAAAATTTGTTTTTTTTGTTAAATTTTGTGTTAACGGGAGTGAAAAATAAGAAAAAAAGAGAAAGTGAAAGTAAAGGGTGGGGACTTGTTGAAAGTAAAATGGAAAGTAAAAGTGAGAGAAAATTAGAATGAGAGTTTTAAAAAATAAAAATAAAATCAGGAAAAGTAAAAAGTAAAAGAGATAAATTTAGAATTTAAAGAAAATTGAAGAGTTGTAAGAAGAAGATGGAGTTTTCGAGGAAGCGTTACTCAACCCAAATTTGGAATCAGTGAAATTATTAGGCCTAAATTTTTTGAGTGATACATCAT